TTTGCTGGACAATGTTTCAGTCCATGCTTCGGAAGAGGGTTTTTTTGGGACCATTTTTCACAAGATGACGATTTTGATAGCTGAGTCCGTGACTCGCAAAACGGGTGTTTTCGGGACTGTTTTACACAAGACAGAGATTTTTGGTGTTTTCGGGACTGTTTTTCACAAGACAGAGATTTTTAACAGCTGATCTGTGCTTCGCAAAATAGTTTCTCTATGGGTGATTTTCGCAAAACAATGACAATTTGTTTCTGCTTCGGGACCAGTTTTCACCACTTTAATACTGTTCTGGTATTGACTAGCATGTAATCTATTTTGTTCCTTACAATATTTTGTTTGTGTCATCTTTTTAAAGGTAAAATAGGGAATCCTTTCCCTGATTTACCTTTAAAAATATCCTGTTATGAAATGTAGATGTTGTTGTTTTGTATATTTTACAACAGCTGTGACTCACCACAGAATTTTTCTAGATTTTTTGTCTTTATCAAAACTAAAGCATACATTTGTGCAATGCATTTGATGTCAGTGGATTTTCCTTTTATCTAGAGAAGCATAGCTCAGTGTGAATATGAAACAAGCAGTGTAATAGAAAATAGTCAAAGTGGCATGTAATCGCTTTTATTACAATGAATGCAACTCCATAATGGTGCTGTGCATCATTATTGTCCAAATGAAACATATATGGGTAGTTCCAAAAGAGGCATTTACATTAAAAGTGCTAAGCCAGGAGGGAGCTGTACTCACGTATAAAGACTTGTTAACTAAAGATCAAATTCTGAAAAATAAACAAGATTTAGAGGGACTGGGTCTATTAACAGACTGGTGGTCAATGTTGAAATTAGAATCAAGATATAAAAAGGATAAAGATGTGGGCTTCTTTGAGAGTAAAGTTCAGATGGATGAACTATGGATTTACACAAAAGAGAAAATAATAAAAAATATATACATATCTATCTATGATCTGGAAGATGAGAGTGTGAAGGAGGTGATGGTTAAATGGGCAGAAAACTTTGGTTATAACATCAATATAGATGACTGGACAAAAATGTGGAAAGATAATTATAAGTTGATTAAACCAGTTAATCTTAGAGAAAACATCCTTAAAATGTTTTATAGATGGCATTTTGCTCCGGTAAGATTGGCAAAAATGTCAGAAGGAATCAGCAATGCTTGTTGAAAATGTAAAAAAATGAATAAATTTAGGGACTTATTATCATGTATTGTGGTCATGTGAAAAAGACAAAAATGTGGAAAGATAATTATAAGTTGATTAAACCAGTTAATCTTAGAGAAAACATCCTTAAAATGTTTTATAGATGGCATTTTGCTCCGGTAAGATTGGCAAAAATGTCAGAAGGAATCAGCAATGCTTGTTGAAAATGTAAAAAAATGAATAAATTTAGGGACTTATTATCATGTATTGTGGTCATGTGAAAAAGCATGCATAAATGAATGAATGAATGAATGAATGAATGAATGAATGAATGAATGAATGAATGAATGAATGAAT